GTGTTTGCATCAACCCCATTTTACAGAACAGAAAACTGAGGCTTAGTGTTTGCATCAACCCCATTTTACAGAACAGAAAACTGAGGCTTTGAGAGAATTGTGCTCACTCATCACACAGCTCTTCGCAGTCAGACCCTGGGGAACTTTGCAAGGATATTTTTTCCCCCTTTCCAGCCTGGTAAATTGCATTTTTCCATGGAAAGATCCAGAAAAGGTTTTGGCGCGTTCCCTCCCCCCCCCTTCTTTCCTCTTTGCCAGCCTTATTCTCCAGACCCAAAACTGGGCCAGGCAGCCTGACCAAACAGCTGGACCGCCCCCAGGGTGGGAGGCCCTGCCAGCGTGTCTGAATTTCTGGGACACTGCTGTGGTTCAAGGGGATCAAAGACTGGAGTGTTATGAAATCAGGAATGACCTGGAAAATGGTGACCACTCCCCCGCGCCTCGCCTCCGCGCCCAGCCAGGTGGTGCAGGCAGTTTGCATTCTACCCCTGACTGAAAGGGGTGGTGATTGGAAACCACCCCGTGGTGCCGTGAGAGAAAGACCTGGCAATCTGCTTCTGTAAAAATTGTTGGAGGCGCCATCAAGGTACATTCGGCTTACAGCAACAGGGTATGGGAGGCTAGATCTGCACCGCAGGGTTTTCGACGCTGACACCTTTGCAGGAGCAAACTGTCAGGTCTTTTTCATGCAAAACAGAAGAGTGGATCCTAAGGAGCTCTGGTGGCCTAGTGGCAAGAAGCTGCACTGCAATCCCAGAGGTACACAGTTCAAATCCACCAGATGCTTTGCTGGAAAAGGAGGGACAATCTCCTCCTGTACCAGTCAGATCTGGTTTGATGGTAAACACATGAAAAACAATTAAAAAAAAAAAAAGGAATGTATTCTAGAGGCCAATCTTTCACTTAGCACTTAATAGTTGCACTCCCAGGTTCCTTTTGCAAAAACATTTGTTGTAAGGTGTCATTAATTTGGCTCCAGCTCCCAGGGACCCCGGTACACAACAGCAAACCCCGCCCAGTCCCAATCTCTGCTGTTCTCACGCCCTCTGTTGTGGTCACTGATCCATCTGTCTGTCCATCTCTTTGAGGGTCTTCCACTCCGCTAATCTAGTTTCCAAGCCCAGGAAAATCTGTGGCTTACTTTGTAAAACAGGGGTCACCATGAGAGGAAAGTGAGTTGACCAGAAGGCGTTTGGGTTTTTCTGGTTTGGGAGGGTGGAGGGGTGCTGGCTTTACAGAGCACACAGCATCTCAGGAGGGCAGTGAGGTCCATGTGTTGAGCTGTCTGATCTTGGACAAATGTCCCACCTTCTCTGGGCCTACTGTGAGGGCAGTGACCCCAAGGCTGCTGGGGGGAGGAGTGAGCATGAGTATAAATGAAGGGCTAGGACCAGGGTCAGCACAGAGTGGGCACCCACTGCCGAATGACTTGTCACCTCTGTGCGGGAGAGGGAGACAGTAGAACTCCAGGGCAGGAGAGGAGGTAGGGGACAGCTGGTGAGGAGAGGGGCCAGCCCTTCAGGTCATCCACAGCGGAGATTCTGTCAAGGGTGCTGGGGAGCCATGGGAGGTCTGGGGTCAAGGTCAGTTCTGGGTTAGGAAGAACCCCCTGGGCCATGTGGGGATGGACTGGCGGCAGGGGGCAAGGGTCTGGGGGCAGAGAGGAGGCTGGGGCAGGAGTCTGGCAGAGAAGAGACCTGAGCCCTGTGCCAGGGCCCTGGGGATAGAGGAGAGGACAGGGCAGTGAGGGAGGGGGCTAGGGACTGGTGGAGAGGGGAGGAGGAGAAAGGGGTAATCCTGAAAGCGGGGAGTCATCCCTTGTGACCGGATGAATGACGGGCCTCCCAGAAGTGGGCCTCTCTCTCTAGGGAGGAGTGAGTTTGGAGAGGGTTATGGGACTCTGGTTTATTGACCCCTAATTGACCCCTGACCCCGTCCACCCACCCAGCTGCTGTTATAAGTTGACTGAGTCACAGTGACCCCATAGGAGTAGAAGAACTGCCCCAGAAGCTGTCAAGGTTAATGTTTACAATCCCCAGGTTTTTCTTCTGAAGTACTACTGGGTGGGTCCCTTCAAAGAGCAGCCCAATGCTTAACTATTGTGCTACCAGAGCTCCTCTCTGCGTCAGAGAACCCTCCAAAAATCAAAACTGCAAAATAATAGTCATCATCATCATCTAAATTAAAAGCCATACTTCAACCCATTTGCTTGCAGATAGGAAAACTGAGGCAGAGAGACAGTGGTGTCACAGAGACCACTCAGGTGTAGTGATCTGGACATCCAGATTTGGCTCTGCTGGGTCCCTACCTTCTGTAGGAAATGGGGGAGTAGGCTGGCCCCCCTGAACCTTCTCCTCTCTGTTCCCAGGACCTCAGCGGCTCGGTGCAGCGCATCTGCAAGTTCCTGGGTCGGCCTCTGGACTCCGAGGCGCTGGACTCGGTCGTGGCACACTCGACCTTCGGCGCCATGAAGGCCAACAACATGTCCAACTATACGCTGCTGCCGCCCAGCCTGCTGGACCACCGCCACGGATCCTTCCTCCGGAGAGGTGCGGGCAGGAGGCCCCTGGGGGGGTGGAATCCCAGCCTCTCTGTGTGGCTGCCTTAACCTCCAAGGATTGGGGTGGAGGTGGCGGGTGTTTCTGGTGAATGGGAAGATGAGGCAGCGGAGTTGTTAGTTCCAAATGCAGAGACCCCAGGGTGGGAAGAAGGATGCTAGAATAGGGAGTGGAGGGTCGATGCTTCCAGGCTGCGCCTCACCCCGGGGACTCCTCTCTCCCCTCTAGGGGTCTGCGGAGACTGGAAGAACTACTTCACTGTGGCGCAGAGCGAGACCTTCGACCGCGTCTACCGCGAGCAGATGCGGGGCCAGCCGACCTTCCCCTGGGACGAGGCCTCGAAGGACGCCAGCCCAGAAGGCGAACCCAGCCCTGACCAAGACCCTGAGACCCCTGATCCTCGACCCTAAGAATAAACACATTGCTCCTGCGTGCGCCCTGCTCCTCCGTGCGCTTGGCAGGTGGTGGGACCACAGGGGATGCACCAGGGCCACCAGGCGGGGAGGCGCGCACGGGCCTGGAACGCATAGGGTTTGGACCCCACACTCACACCCAGGGCCTCTGAGGGCGGGCCCCCTTCTCCACCTAGCTCCTGACTCAGAGTCCCGCCCACATTCAAAGGCTCTGCTGGGAGTCCTGACTGGGGCATGTGACAGGGGCCAAGGGATTGTGCCCAGATTCAGGGTCCTTGGTGAACCAGGGGGAGGCTGGGGGCTCGGACTCCTGAGGCCAGGCAGCGCTTTATTTTGCACAAAGCAATTTAAAATTTCAAGCAGTGGGGGGTAAAACGGAGCCTCAGACAACCCGCCCCCACAGCACCCACAAAATAGTTCAGCACCTGCGCGTTCTTTGCGCGTTCCTTGTTCCACCACTGGCAGGTCATTCAGCTCCCCAGATGGGCTGGCTCCTCTCCTGTTCCTCCCCGTTGGTCCCCTGGAGACACACACCCACACCCAACAATCTTCACCCCAGACAGTTCCATCAGAGGACGCTGCTCAGCCCCACTCCTCGTGACCACACCCGGGCCCAGAATGCAGGACTGGAGCGCTAGGAGGGGGGGTGCTGTGCACACCGCACTGGGTGGCATTCAGAAAGGAGACAGAATGACTATGTCAGGTCTATACCTTTATTGAGAAATGAGTCAGCAGAATTTGCTTTATTCTCTGTCGTTAGGAAAGCTGCATTGCTATCCCAATAGTGATGCCTCTTTGGCAGTTCGAATCCACCGGAAGGTCCATGGAAGAAAGTTGGACAATCTCCTTTCTTCCTATTTACCAGCTTTGAAAACCTGTTAGAGGGTCAGCGATGAGTTGGGTCCACCTCAAGGACAATGAGGGGTGTTGTTTCTTTTTTTTTTTAGGTATCTTTCTAGTCGTAATGCTCTCTTATGACCTAGTGGTAGAGAAGTGCGCTCCACACCCCTCCAACCACAGGCAGGCGGTTCAAATCCCAGCGCTCGTCTGTGAGAGAAAGACGTGCAATTGACTCCTGCGTGATTTACAACCTCTGAAAACCCACTGAGGGTCAGATATTTTCTAGTTCTAATAGAAACATTTCTGGGAAGCCTTGTTTACTTGGATTAATATACCTAAAAGGCTGATCTCCATGCTAATTTGTGTTTTGAACATTTTAATGTGCTCCGGCCAGAGCTGCTGTTATTACCTAATTACAGTGACGCTTTTAATCCCATGGTCTCCTGTGCACATGCTACAAGCCACATGTAAACTCACACACTTCCCCTTACTATTGATGTGGGGTTTTTTTTTAGAATTGTTCCTTAAGTCCCCTTTTCTGGTGTTTTAGCTGCAATTTTGTGGTTACTAATAGTTGGCAACCTCTCACAGAAACTTCTTTTTTGAGAATGAATTCACTCATTGTTCCTACCTCGGAGTCCACACACAGCTTGGAAAGAAAGGACGGGCCCATTTGTCTCCTGTCTCGCCACTGGGGGATTCAAACTGCCAAAGAAGGCTTGCAGGGCAAGTATCTAAGGACTCCATCACCAGAACTCCCTTTTGAGAATAAAGCAGTAATAAAAAGAAATCCACTTCTGCTCAGTTACTGACAATGTTGTTACTCAACATAGAAAAAATTTATAAAACATTTTTTGGCCTTTACATAATCTAGGAAATCTCCCATCTAAGCAGTTTGCAACTCTGTCATGTATTATTCTATGATTAAGGAGCTCTGGCAGGGTTGTCCTTAGAAAGTCGCATTAACCTAAAGGCTGTGTGTCTTCCGTGGTTCGAATCCACCACCAGCTCTGAAGGAAAAACATGGTCTCTCCTCCCATTGTTATTACAGCCTCAGAAACTTGATGGCAAGTCACCATGAGCAAGCAAGAACTCTATGCCAGCGAGTGAGTGATTCTGTGATGAAAATTGATAATATATGCCCCTCAAGAAACAAATGGATAGGAAAAACTATGGTATATTATAGAAAGGAATACTACGCAGCACTGAAAAACAAGGAACTAATAACACACAGCATGGATGACCCTAGAGGATATTATGCTGGGTGAAATATCTCAGTCAGAAAAGGACAAATAGTGCATAACACCATTGTCCTAAAATAGGACTGACATGGGGTTTGGGGGGGACTGAGAAAAGAGGGGTAAATAATGAACCCTACATTGGAGCAGATGAAGGAAAGACCTGTTTAAAAAGATTATATGATTAGACATTATCCGTATGACAACAGTTTAGAATGAGAGGTGCACAGCAAAGTAGAGTGGGGGAGGTGGGAAGAAGGAAATTATGCAACAATGATTTTTTAAATTTTTTTTATTGTGAAAAACATGTTTGGGGATACAAGAGGCTAAGGGCTGGGAGCAGAAGAGTGAGGATGGGCAGGGATGAAATCACACGGCTGCACAATTTGGCGGATTTTTTAAAAAATATATAGTGAGCTGGGAGGAGTAGAAGGGAAAATGGGTAACGATTGAATGGAAATGCAACTTTTCTATAAACTTTGATTAAAATCACAGTAAAAAAGAAAAAACTCAACAAAATATTTTTATTTAAAAAAATAACTGATATTAGTACTGTACTGGAGAAGGAGAGGAAATCTTCTCCTGTGCCAGTCAGATCCAATTTGACAATACACAAACACACCAAAAGAAAAATGGGAAAAAAAAACCCAACCAACCGATATTAAACAATGAGAAGGATGCTGTCTTGTCTGGCAGGGAGACCATGGCTCCCTCTGGGAGGACTCTGGGTGGCATTACAAGTTACCACACTGCGTGGCATATATGAGACAGCACGACTCGTTCTAGAATCCACAGCTACTCAGGAACCTGTACGCATTTTCTAGGCTGTGACCCTGCAGTCAGGAGCAGGCTCTGGGCTTGCCCCAGCTCTCTTGGGTCAGAGCAGAACCGGGCTTGTTCTGTGGGAGTTTTCAAAGGCTGAATTCTCAAAGGTTGATCATCAGGCCTTTCTTCCAAGTCACTTCTGCGGGGAACGGAATCTCCAGCCCTTCCAGTTAGCAGCCAAGGGTTTCAACTATTGTGTACCACCCAGGTATTAGAATGGGTTGTTGTTGTTTTTTTTTAATCTTATCTTTTGTGTGTGTACCATCAAATCAGATCTGACTGGTACAGAAGGAGATTGCCCCTCCTTCTCCAGCAGAGCATCTGGTAGATTCGAACCGGGTACCTCTGGGATTGTAGCACAGCTTCTTGCCACTAGGCCACAGAGCTCCCTTAGAATGAGTTTTTAAAAAATCAGATTACCCCAAAGAAACCATAACTGCCACCCAAACAGATACGTGCACACCCATGTTTATTGTGGCTTTGTTCACAATAGCAAAGAGTTAGAAACAACCTAAGTGTCCATCAACAAACAAATGGATCGAGAGGCTGTGGTATATTCACATAATGGAATACTACACTGCATTGAAAAAGGAGGAGTCCAGAACTAAGGCTCTCTTTAAAGTGCTAATACGGAAGGATACCACTTTAAGGTGTGTCCAAGGTCAAGCCATAGTATTTTCAATTGCTTCATATGCATGTGAACGTTTGACAGTGAGTAAGGAAGACCAAATAAATGATGCCTTTGAATTGTGGTTGTGGTGTGTTGGTGAAGCGTATTGGACATACCATGGACTCCAAAGAACAAACAGAGCTTTCTTGGAAGAAATGCATTCAGAGTGCTTTTTAGAAGCAATGATGGAGAGACTTTATCTCAGATGCTTTGGGCCTGGTGTCAGGAGGTGACAGTTCCTGCAGAGGGATATCATGCTTAGAAAGAGGGTTAGTGAAAGAGAGAAAGAACCTCAAAAAAGATTGACACAATGACTTCAACAATGGGTTGACACACAGTAGATATTAGGAGGCTGGTGCGGGTGCAGACCAGGCTTTGATCTGTTGACACAGGGTCTCTGTAAGTCAGACAATTCAACAGCTTCTAACAACAACAACAGTTGGCCCAAAGGGTTTGTGTTCAGCTATAACCAAAACATCAGCAATTCAGACTCACGGAGTGATGCTCTAACACAGTACCACTCCGTAACACTGCCCAGTAACACTGCTACCCTGTAAGACTGGAATACTACCTACTAATACTACCAGAATTATTAGTAAATCTGACTAGTAGTTACTAGACAGTAATACTACCTAGTAATGCTACCCAGTTACACTCCCAACACTGCGAATCTGTAACGTTGTTGCTGTTGTTGTTGTTAAGTGCCGTGCAGTTGTAGGCGACTCATAGGACCCTATGAACAAAAGACCTGGACACTTGTATAACTTTCTTCTCTTCTCCAGGTTCATAGGGTTTCCGGAGGCAAGCTATTTCAGAAGTGGTTGCCACTCCTGCTTCCAAGCTTGTCTTAATTGGGGAGCTCCACCAAACACTGTCCACCATGGGTAACCATTCGTGCATTTGACACATGGTACCTGGTAATACTACCTAGTAACACTACTAAGTAACACTTCACTGCTACCCTGTTACATTGTACCACTTGGTAACGCTACCCAGTAATACTAGTAATACTATGTTCATCACAGTGTTATTTTACAACTGCAAGAAAACAGACACCACTCAAATGCCCATCAACAGGTGAATGGATTTAGAAAGTGTGGTACATTCACACAATGGAATACTATACAGCACTGAGGAACCACAGTTTCATAAAACACCACAGGAGAGTCTAGAAAGCATTATGCTGAGTGAGACAACCCAGTCTTATAAGGACAAATACTGTGTAAGACCATTAATGCAGAAATAGAAGGATAACTGAGAAATATGTGCATAAATGTTCAAAAGGGGAAGAGCAAGAGAAGGGGTGAAAAAAAGAGGCAGGGTGGAAATCACAAGGATACGAGAAGTTAGTGGGTGG